GTTAAAGACATTTAACCATGAAATGTTCGGTTTGTGATGTTTATATGATATACACCCAGCCCCTCGGCCACTTTGGTAGTTTATAAAATTTATGTGAAGAAAAAAATAAAATAAAAAACTTGTTGGACTGATTTGGCATGAGACGTTGCAGCTGATAGGAGTCATAAAACAGAACAGGGGGACGTTAGATGCCCTGATGCCCCTCTAGATAAATGTGTTAAATGAGTGAAGGAAAATATGAGCACCAAGCAGCAACCCTATGTTCTCCCCTGAGAACCAGACCAAAAACATAGGAGCTTCAGATTATTATTTTTTTGGTTGTTTAGCGCCGATGAAACTCTATCCATTAGGCCCACCAATCAGTGCCCCCACCCCACCTGGACCCCCAATTTATCTGAAAAAGTGGGTGTCTGCACATACAAAAAAGGTTATAGCTCAAAAACTATTAAACATAGGAGCTTCAGATTTTCTTTGGTTGTTCACCTCTGATGAGGGGCTATCCATCAGGTCAACCAATTYTCCACACACCCCCAAAAAAATGACCCCCCGCCAAACCACTATAATTTTGGGTTGCACCTAGTATCATGACATTTATTAGGAATAAAGACTTCTGAGTTCTGGTGCATTTGTGAGTGCGGGGGTCATTATGTTACCACTGTGCAGTATCCAGTTAAATTTTTGCTGAATTCTCAATTGAAATGAACATAATAAAAGTTATTTGTTTATTAAAGTTCAACATGTGCAGGTTGGCGTGTCTCTGTGGGAGCTGATGGGAGTTCGTGTGGAAGGTTTCCTTCCTGCAGCCATTCTTCCATTACTGCTAACCATGGTGAGATGAATTATCCCGCAGCGTAAATACTGAAGAAAATATAGCATTTTGGCATCTACAGCATTCATTATCAAATCTTTTTATTCCCACATTGCTTTTAGTAATTCTATTTTTTAATTTCACATTAAGKCTTAATTGTTAGAAATCAAATGTTAGAAGCAAATAAAGCAGTATATTAGTTATWCTGGTATTTGCATGTGAATTTTCTAAAATGAAGACAATTCCTGYCAACAAGTCTCTCTGCAGCATCAAAATACAACTGAATCTCCTGAGAGCTGTATTTATAACATCTTATTTTACAGCTTCCATAAACGTTCTGCAGAGACATCCCTCAGGTGTATTTAAACAGGTTGAAATGTGGGCTCTTTGTAGTTTCCAGATCATCATCTTTAGGCTTTTTTTATCACTCTTTAGTGCGTTTAGACGTCATAAACATTTTATTTTTATTCTACCCATCAGGTTTTGTATCTGGGCCCTCTGGTTCGGTCTGCAGTGGAAAACCCTGATGGTTTCAGCGGAGAACTGCAGTCTGCTCTGGGTGTGTCTGACTGTTGAAGATTTAAACTGGAAAAAAGAGATTTTTTTATGTGTGTGCTTCTCTTTGCATTGAGGGTCACCATCATGAAGTCCAGGATTTATTTTTCCAGATGTTCAGTCTTGGAGGAGTTGTGTGAAAGACGCAGAGTGGCTCAGGAACCAGGTGGTGGCGCCGTGTTAGGTGTTCAGGGGGGCCATGCTGCCTGTGCTGCTGCCCTGCACTGGACCAGCTGGGATTTTTACTGCTCCGCCTTTCTTTGGTGTCGGTATGACAAGACTCCACAGGACCCCCCAGACTGGAAACAGATTAAAAAAAAAACAGTTAACTTACTGAACTTTTCAATTTGTTTTGCCTGCAGTTGTTTGGAATCACTTATTTTTGTTTCATTCAAAACTTTCACTGTATTTCCARCACAGTTGTGTTTCTTTCCAGCTCATTTTCATCATATTATAGAAGAGTGGCATCTCAGGAAAGAAAACATTAATGTTATCTTCTCGGAAGCAGGTGAGTTTTTAACTGTGTGGACATTTTTTTCCCTTTAAATCATGCAAACCACTAACGCTAATGCTAACTTTACAAAAAAAAACTATAATTCAGCCGTTTTTAAACATACACATTTAAAAAGGTAAAAGTGCAGTATTAGAGAACAATGTTTAATTAAATCTAAATGCAAAACAAAATCTAAGATCTCCTTTGGGGTGATCAATCAAATGCCACTTGCCACCCCAGCCACCCCTCTGGCTCCACCCCTGTTATTATT